ATGGTTTTTTTATCTATTTTCTATGAATTTTTTAAGTCTGAAATTTTCCCCCTGTGGGGAAAATTTCAGACTTGATCCTATTTTTCTAATTTAAAATGAATATATTAAAAATGTTATACCAGGAGAAAAATTATTAAATTTTTAAAGAAATATTATTTACTTAAAAAAGTAATACGACAAAAAATACGAAAATCGGTTTTAATAATTAGTATGTCCATCTTTTGCTTTTAAACAGTTAATATTCTATTAACCATAAACTTTACTATTTTTTTACAATGAAACTTAATATTATTCCATAAAGTTGATACTATATCTTTCATTTCTTCTATACTATTTAGCATCATGCCTCTTAGTCTCTGATTTATTATAGTTTATAAATTCTTAAAAAGATTAAGATCTGGTGATTGAACACCCAATTCTATGAGTTTAATATTGTGAAAGTTAAAAAATTAGATAGCAATTTTGCTTTTATTTTTTGGATCTTTATCTTGGAAGATTTTAAAAAATTCAAATCTTAAAGTATCTAAGCTTTTTGGAAAATTATTTGAAAGAATTTCAACATAAAAGGTTGATCCATTTGCTTCTCAAAAAATAACTCCCTAGTATTCTGTGAACAGATGCAACTCTGTGTCATAATTTTTTTCTTTTCATATTTAAGTATTTCATTAACTGGTTTATTATCCTTATTAATTATCATGTTTTTAATCTCTATGAATTATTATAAAATGAAAAAAGATTCGTCAGTAAAAAAAACATTACTCCAATATTCACTTCCAATAAAGAATCCTTTTTTAAAATTACATCTTATAATTTTATGTTTAGGAGTAGGTTTAGTATTATTAAAATTCAATACTGGACTTAAAACAAGTAACTTCAATGTTCTATGTATATTTCTATCACTAATAATCTTGTTTGTGGTTTTGAAAAATTTTCTGTTAATATTTACAACTGAAAATTTTTTATTTTTGTATAATACTTTACGTATAATCTTTATAGTTTAGCTTTGATAGTTTATCAGACCCAATTTATCTTACTTTTATTTCTTTTACACTTATCATTTTACATTAAAGATGGTATGATGAAATATAAGCACCTTTAATTTTAAAGAAATTTCTTCATATATATAATTCGTTTCTTTTAATGTTATTAGTTTATTTTTATAAAATCTAAATGTTGATTAGGTATATTTGTAAGTTCAACATTTCAAAAAAAAACTATGTATATTTTGAAGGGTTATTTTTAAATATTTCTTAATTCTCCAT